CCTTCATTAGGACTGCCCAAAATATGACAAAATAGGGAGCAATCTTTTGAGCTCTTCAGGATGAATTTAACCTACAGTCTCATTCTGGAAAATTTGAAAGGTTGTATTTTGTAATATTTTCTTTGGTTCTAATAAACATATTACCCTCCTGTGGATTTGGGGACTTTTCTTAGGAAGCGATATGGCTCCCTTTGTTTTTTGTGAGCTGAATGATACATCCGAGTGGACATGTGCAGGATTGCACTGTAATAATAGAGGAGGTGATTTGCACTTGGGCCTAAAAACCCACATGGCGACTAGTTCTGAAGTATCAGCTTGGCAGGGGAACCAATTTCATGTCCAGCACTGTGATTATGTCCCAGTGCAGTTATACCTCTTGTCAAGGCTCCAATAGCTGCTGCTTATGTGTTCTCTGTTTTGCAGCATATGTGGTTAAATCTGAAAAACTGAAGTTTCTCTAATTGATGTGGGGGAAGTAGGGAGCACTGGGACACTTTCCCAAGGGAATTCCTCAGTTTGGGAGTGTAATGGAGAGTTACCAATCACCGCTCTTGGCATCCGCTCAACCAGTGGATTCCTGCCATTGCTCAGATTATGGCAGTTAATTATTGACTGCATTTGACTGAACTGGATGGCTGAACAGACCAGCTGCAGCCCACTGTGAAAGTGCTGGGTGCGTGGGGGGCAGAGAAACCTACCTATAGTATCTGGGGTAGCCAATATGTGGATTTTTTATTAACTGCTGTCAGAGAGGAAGGGTTGGCAGACCTGAGTATTCCTCTTTTTGTTGCTCTGAATTTGTTGGCATCTTATTTGATTTTCTCAGCCCTTTTGGTTTTGCTTTTGGCTTCATATGGTGAGGGGAAGGCGGTGAAATTAAATGAACAGATAAGAGACCAGAAATCTGGAGTAGTGCACTGAAGCTGGGGTGTGTGTGTCTGTGTCTGTGTGTGTGTGTGTGTGTGTGGTGGGAGAGAATGGCCTTGCATTCATTCATTTAATAGAGTATGGAATCAACCGTTCTGAAATTGCATGCAGTAGACAGTTCATAGCTTCTATAGAAACAGCTTTATTCCATCTTGTATTTGCCAGGCTTTTGTGTTGATGCCATCATTCCTGTTGCTGTTACTATTCAGCATTTATAATTTTATCAGGTTTACTTCATATATTTTGCAGAATTATGTAAGCAGAAGGAAAAACCCCAGCCATGAGGTGTTCATCTGCTGAGGGAGAGGGGTGGGGGAGTGGGTGGGAAGAGAAAGACCACTTGCTTTTAAGAATAAATGCTGCCTGACTTGGGGGGGTTACTGTTTTAGTAAGGACATTTTAGGAGCCTGGGATAGCCCAGAAAGCTTATTTTCCGTCACTAATGTAGGGGTCATACTGGTGGGGTGGGGTAGTGGGAAGGATAGTTGGGGGGGTTAGTGGAAAGCGACATTCCATTCTAATTTCAAATCATTCCAAATATTGCGCCCCACACCTAGATCTCAGTGGATGCATTGTGCCTGCCCCGACAGAGTCTGTTGAGTGCGTTACTGTTTATGGAATTGCTGTTCCTGTGTGTATGGAATGTTGTTTCCTGGTAGCATGCCAGTTCAGTGCAGTATTGCAAAGCGCCTTCAGTTCCCAGTGGCAGTTACCGGGTGGCTCCAGCCCTTTGGCCTAGGTTTCCTCTTCTGCTTCCTGACCCAGCGGTTTACTTGTTTTTCCACTTTCTCTTTGCTAGAGCCAAGGCACTGGAGAGAACCAGGAGCCATCCTTCCTGCCTTTGTTTGCTTGTGTTACCTGTTCCACTCTTACGGATACATCCTTTTGGGTGCTTCACTTTTCATTGAATCTGACTGCAGCCTCTGGATGTTGCAGTAAGCCTCCATTCCAAAATGGTTCCCAAATATAAACCCACAACTTCCACTGTAACACAATAGTTTCCATTCTGTTTAGAAACACCAGAAGAATGTAAACTTTGTGCACTAATTATGTCTCTAATATAGAAGGATGAGAAAGGTTTTACTGAAACATTTTTCATGTGCAGGAAGAGCTTGCAGCAATAATCCTATGATTATCATCTGTTTAGATCCTTATACATTCCTATGTATGTATGTTTGTTTATTTGTATGCTGCCTAATTGGCCTCTCAAAGCAGGTTAGAATATAAAACAAAGAGGAAGCCACAAACCTGAAAGCGTCAACACATACATATAACAAAACCAGACAGTAATAACTGGTAAACACGAAATGAACATTAGGCAATGTCTGGTGATCTTTGCAGAGTGCTCAAAAAGACTTTCTAAAGAGGAAGGGGGTTTGAAAGATTTGTGAAAGTCAAGACAGCAATGGGGTGAGCTCAGGTGAGTCTCAAGGGCTGGATGCCACAGATAAAAGGGCCCAGGCCTTGCTTTCAGCATCCAGGTATCCCAAGATGGGGGATATGCAACAGAGCTTCTTCCCCAGCTGATCTTTAGGGAGACTATGAAACCAGAAGTATGGCTTTAGATACATGGATCTTAGGTCTTTCAAGGTCGATATCAGCACTTTGAACTGAACCCAGAAACCAGCTGATAAGTCAGTATAGTTTATTCAGGATGGGTGAAGCAGAGTTCCCCAAGGCAACCTCTGCAGTGAGTCTGACTGTTAAATTTTGGACTAATTGCAATTCCAAGCTCGATTCAAAATCAGACCCACATGGAACAAATATTCTTATTCTTAATATTGCATTTCTATACTGCCCATAGCTGAAGCTCTCTGGGTGGTTCACAGCATTTAAGTCACCCATCCAGATTTCAGCCGGAAGCTCCTACCAAGCAGTGCCACCAATACCCAACACTGGCAGGTAGCTCAGAACAATCCCATGAGCCAGTTTGGTGTAATGGTTTGACTACTGGACTGGGACTTGGGAGACCTGGATTCTAGTTCCACCTTGGGCCATGAAACTCATAGGGTGTGTTTGGGCAAGTAACAGACTCTCAGCCCAACCTACCTCACAGGGTTGTTAGGAAGATAAAATGGGAGGGACATGTAAGCTGCCTTGAGTTCCCAGTAAGAGGAAAAATATATAAATATAATAACAAAAATACTTGCTGGTATGACAGGCAGGCAAGAAGCTCAGGAGAAACCACAAGGGCAGTTGCATTTCTTTTGTCTGTCCCACACTGAAGGTTGTACAAGGCATGGCCAAGACAGATTCTGACCCACAAGCAGCTCTGAAACTGATCAGTAAGAAAGGTTTAGAAATGGATTTTTTAGGACAGGGTTTGGATGCAAATGAGGGTTGAGTTACACCCTGATTTTGTCTCTGGTTTTGCCACAGAGGAGCTGCAGGCACACAGCTTCTGTGTCCCCTACCTCAGTGCTCTGTTAATGATTTTGAATTCTTGCAGAAGGGAGGGGGTCCTCAGGTCCTCTAGCAGGAGGAGCCTCATTAACAAGGTGGCAGTCAGAGAATGGGAGTGGGTCACAATAGTTGGCCTTGCACAGCAAGAGGGAACACAGGAGCTTGACACCTCTGCTGACAGGCATCATTGACTGTGCTGTAAAGTGGCAAATGAATGGTGGAAAAGCTTTTCAGATGCCACATCATGGTTGCAAACAGTAAATGTTGCCTATTATTTGGAAGCACTCTTTGGGGAATTTGGTATTTTTTGAATCCCTGTATTATGCTGTTGGTGAGAAATAGTTATGAACAAATACAGCCCTATACTAAGGCTAAAAATATTTGCTTCTGAGGGCAGTATTCCTGTTTCCCAAGGGAAAAAACTGACTTAACAGAGTACCTACACTTCAACAACAAGGAAGCCAAAGGAATCTTTCTGGGAAGAGAATTCTAGTAACCAGGTTCTGTCTTAATCTCAACTAGCCATACCACTTAAGGAGCTGGGATGTAGACCAAGGACTCTGATCCTGAGCTCAGTGGGCAGGCATTATGGTGTAGGAGGAGGCAAGCTTTCCAATATCAAATTTAGGGCTTTAAAGGTAAGAACAAACACTTCAGACTGTGTCCAGAAATGAACAATCTGGAAGCCAGTGCAGTTGAAACAAAACGAAGCAACATGATTATCAAAGAGGACTCCAGATATCAGTGTGGCTGCTACAGTTTGAATCAGCTGAAGTTTCCAAATGGTTTTCCAAGTTACAGAGTGCCTCATACCGCAAGTTACAGAAAACCAAGTTGGATGTGGCTAAGGACATGCAGCAGTGTTCCTGGCTTTGGCCAGGATGGGATGCCACTTGCAATCTGGATAGCTATGGTTAGCCCATATCATCAGAAGGACTGTGAAAGACTAAGAATGGGACAGTGTCAGAAGGCATATGTGGGAAGGGGTGACCATCTCATAATCCTCTATATAGATTTGGAATTTAGTAGTCAAGCATCCAACTGAATTTATGAGGTATTTACCCTCCAGGAGCCATTTGGACTTTAGTATCTACCTCATTCATGTTGATAAGGGTACAGAAAAATCTTTGATCGTCTAAGATTAATAATGCTGAAGTTGGCACTGTACTATACTACACAGAAGGAGTGAAAAGGTCAGTCAGTTATGCATCTTTGTCTTTTCCTTTGCCTTTACCATTTGCCTTTACTTCAATCATATAATGCTGAAGCTTGCTTCACTCCAGAAGTACTTTAGATGTTCTGGGTAGCCTCTACAGTCCATTCCAGGAGTGCAGAATCTTAGGCCTGCGGTCAAATCTGGTCATTTGGGGTTTCCCAGAAGGTGACTCACCTTTCTCTGACCACCAGTCACTGGGTGGTTTTCTGGCATTTGTGCATTTTCCTGCATTCTGAATGGTTGAAATGCCTCTCCTAAGGCACCAAGAGCTTTAGGCTAAAATATGCTGGCATTTTGGTCTCCCTTTTGCCTTCAGCCCATTTGTCACTGGGAGCCCTAAGAGCTTCTCCGAAAGGGTGTTTGGTGCCCTGGCTAAAAGAGGATTCTCCCCTGCTGCACACTCTGCTTTGTGGTACAACAGCAGCATTAAGCTCTCTCTCCTTCCTTTCTACAGATGGGATCCACAGTGTTGCTGCCCAGTGCACACTCCAGGTGACGATCATTACAGATGAAATGCTGACCAACAGCATCACACTGAGGCTGGAGAACATGTCCCAGGAACGGTTTCTTTCACCACTGCTGGCCCTCTTCCTGGAAGGGGTGGCAACTGTGCTGTCTGCTTCCCGTGACCACGTTGTGCTTTTCAACATCCAGAATGACACTGATGTGCAGGCTGCCCAGATCCTTAATGTCAGCCTGTCCGTCTTGCTGCCAGATGGGGCCCATGGGAGCCGCTATATTCCTTCAGAGGACTTGCAGGAGCGACTGTACCTCAACCGCACACTCCTGGCTGCCATTTCAGAACAGCGGGTTCTGCCCTTCGACGACAACATCTGTCTGCGGGAACCCTGTGAAAACTACATGCGCTGTGTCTCAGTGCTAAAGTTCGACAGCTCGGCACCCTTCATTGCCTCCAATACCATTCTCTTCCGTCCCATCCACCCGGTCAATGGCCTGCGCTGCCGCTGCCCGCTTGGCTTCACGGGTGACTATTGCGAGACTGAGATTGACCTCTGTTATTCTAACCCCTGTGGCAACAATGGGCACTGCCGGAGCCGTGAAGGAGGATACACCTGCGAGTGCCAGGAAGGCTACACTGGTGAGTGGTGGTGACGGGAAGAAGGGTCCTTACAAGGAGGAGGCATCAAGTGGGCTCCATTTATGCTCTCTTGCTCTGCGAAATCACTGTCTCCTTTATCTAACATTTTGTTCTGGACGAGTACAGATGTTCTACTTGGCCTTATTGTCATTATTAGCTCTGCCTTGCTTTTAGGTGTACAAAGTATGCTTTATGGTTCATTGCTCATTTATGCTTGCAATGGCTCAGTCAGATGGGATAGGCTGAAGGATGGGGGCTTGTTCAAGACCACCTAGTAGGCTTCCTGCCTGAGTTCAGGGCACGAGTTGAACCTGGATTTTTGTCACATAGCTGTGCATCACACAGCTCACAACTACTTCCATCCCCAGCTTCTCCCTACCTCTGCCTGTTGTCTGTGTTATTTTTAATACTCTTCGTCCAGGTACTTTAATAAAAATTGACCTATCTATCATAAGGAAAATAAACTAACCAAAATTTTCCTCCCAGAAAAACTAGAGTGTGCAAACAATGTAAATTAAGCACATTAGGCATAGTGGCATCTCTGCAATAAAACAGTATAACTTATCCTGTTTCCCATAAGTATGGGTAGGATAAGGAGCTGTGAAGGCCACTAAACTTTATTTGCTGGTCATTGGAAAAGTCTGCTCAGCTTCCTCCCGCAGCTTCTGACATTTCCTCAGGTATTGGTCACCAGCATGCAAGCTTGTCTTCGCATATGTAACACCAAAGCCGAGATGCTGAATTTTGCACTGAGCGGTGACAAATGTTGTGCTTATGTGGAATCATGGAACAGATGCAGCTCATGCTTTTCCTTCTTTTGCCTTGCTCAGGTGCCTGGTGGCTAACATTGGTGAAGTCACCTGGCTTGCTGTGGTTTCCACGAGAGCTGATGTGACTTTCTGGTGAGGTGGGGCGGAGGGAGAAAGCGGCTGATTGCTTCTTGCCAGAAAGATGTGGAATGTGAATCAGTGTTGCTCTGTGCTGGACTGCAGGACTGCATTTTGCAGGAGAGCAGCAAGTGTTCCGGGGTGGGGTGTGGGGGTGTTTCTGCTTTATATCACTGGAAGATGATCTCTCCTTGGTGCTGCAATGCTAGCTGGGACAGAAGCTTTCCTCTCTGGGGCCAGCATGCTTAATCTATAGCGTGCCTGGCTTGGCCCTAGGGTGGCGCTGCTATTTGCATTCCTGCTGCTCTGTTGAATTTGTGATACAAAAGTTGCAGCAGCCAGGATATGAATGGCCCCTTGTTTGTGCCCCAGTTCAGCCAGATTTCTCTTCACAAATGGCTGGACAATGGCAGGCTTGCTACAAATTCACTGATAGGTTTCCCAGTAAGGACAATAAGCTGCTCTCCTCTCCTGACCTCTCATATATTGCAAAGAAATAAAAACAGTAGGGAACTAGTCTTGTGTGAGTGTGCATCTGACTGTCTGCCTGTGCCACTCTTTCATTCGAGCTGCATGCACTTGGCATCCTCAGAACTCACAGTTGCCATTACCTACTAGTAAAGCAATATCCCCAGTGCACATTTATAATGGGCCAGGGAGTGTCTGTCCGTGTCTTGACTGGCTCTTAGCTTCTTATTAGGGGATGACTTTGGCTGATGTACTTAAGAGTAATTAACCAGAGGCCTTAAACCTATGCATAGTCAATGTATGTTCGTGCAACCACAGAATGCAGGAAACAAAAGTTTAAAATAAACCAAGCCTTCTCTGCCAAGTGCATATGCACTCAGTGCTGAAAAAGACATCAAGCTGGTACATATGTTTACCAATATAGATCTTACATTTTTAAAAATTAAATTGGAAGTAGCCATGCCTCACTGATGGACTAGATCTGGCCTCCAGCAGTAATTCTCAAGCTGGTGTTTAGTTGTTGCCATGGAACATGCATGGTGGTGCGTATGCAGCACATACAAGCCAGTGGAGGAAATTGGTGACCACCCAAACTGTCCTGATTGTTATGATTACCTATTGAGAACATTTTACTCACTGCATTTTGCTTGCTGAGACTGAGTGGGAGCTAGGACTCAGCATTCTCCAGGGTGACACCTTCTTTATGGCATTCATTCTCTAGGCCAGATGTATGGCCTTTTGGTGCTATGGTTTTAATACAGTAGATTGAAATATCTAGCTTTTATGTTGCTTGTACTTTATTTTTTTTAACTTGTATTGAAGTCTTATATGAACCTTTGGTTCTGATGTTGTGATAAGCTCAGTCTGTGCTGTTGTTTATATAGTCAGTGCCCTGCATGGAACTGGGGAGATGACAGAGCAAGGGGTGTGAAGTGGAGGCAAGGGTGAACAGGGAACTATGTGATTTTGTGGATCATGAAGTCAGGCTTAGTTTCAATAAGGCGAGGGAATTAAGCAGAGGGCTTCAGGGAATGGAGGATTTTGAGGAGGGATCTGAAGCAAGTAGGAGAGGTGAATAATTTGGGCACCAAAGAACTACACAGAAACAAAGGGAGCAAGGTGAGAGAGAAGACAAGAGAAGGGACAATTGCAGTAGTTTTGGTGAGGGATGACCAGGATGTGGATCAGTGTTTTTGCCAAGGACACAGAGAGAAAAATATACCTCCTTGGAATGCTGTTGAGGAGGGACCTTTGTGAAACCCTAATACAAGGGAGAAAGAGTGAGAAGAATCAAAAACAAAGTCAAAGCTGCGTATTTATTCAACAGGGTGGATGTGGCCTTGTCAATTGATAAAGAAGAGTGTATGAGGAGAATGGGGGACATGTCTATTTCTGTTTTAAAAAAACCCAGTTGGCCACATTTGAGAAACCTTACCTTTAGCCAGCCATAAGAAAGGGATTGCTCCCTCCTGATCCTCTTCTGTTTCCATGTCCTGAAGCAGGAGTGGACAACATGTGGCCCTCCAGATGTTTTATTCTACGACTACCACATCTCTCACTATTAGCTATGCTAGCTGGGCTGATGGGAATTGTAGGCTAAAATATTGGGAGGGCTGCAAGTTGCCTATTCCTGCCCTAACGCCAAAAGGGGGGTGATTGCTCCATATGGGTTCTTACTGCAGGAGGCTGAAGGATCCTCGTGAGGTTTGTGCTCGAGAGTGGCCTCTCCCTCTGTAAGGGTGTGGACCCGATTGTGTGGGTCTGCCCCTGGAGCCAGATGGATCTGGACGGATTCCTGAAGGCCCTTGGGGAGTTTCTGGCTGACAAGACTGGTGCTCCTATCGAGGCTTTGGTCGAACTATGGAATGGGGAGATGACTAGGGCTGTTGACACGATCACTCCTAAGCGTCCTCTCCCACCAGGCAGAGCCCACTCTTCCCCTTGGTATACATCTGAATTGTGGGCGATGAAGCAGGCTGGGAGACGGCTAGAGCATAGGTGGAGGAGATCACGGGATGAATCTGACCGAACACACTTAAGAGCCCATTATCGGGCCTATGCTGTGGTGGTGAGGGCAGCAAAAAAGAAATTCTTCTCTGTTTCCATTGCCTCATCAAAATGCCATCCGGTGGAGCTTTTTTGGGTGGTACAAGGGCTGGTCCATCCTGGCCCTAAGAAAGATCTGGTTCCACCCTTGAAGGCCCGCTGTGACGACTTTGCCAAGCATTTCAGGGAGAAAATCGCTCAGATTCATCACGAGCTAGACTCTACTAGTGACTCAGAGGCTTCTGGGGAGATACCAATGTTGCCGTCTGGTCCAAAATTAATGGATGAATTTCAGTTATTGCGGCCTGATGATGTGGACAAGGTGCTTGGACGAGTACGTCCCACCACTTGCCTATTGGACCCTTGCCCATCTTGGTTAACTAACGCCAAGCACAGGACTGGGACCTGGATCTTGGAAGTGGTTAATGCTTCTCTGAGAGAGGGTCGGGTACCTGCCCCTTTAAAGGAGGCAGTAGTCCGACTGGTCCTGAAGAAAGTGTCATTGGATCCAGAGATGGCCACTAACTATAGACCAGTGGCCAACATCCTGTTTCTGGGCAAGGTGTTGGAGCGGGTGGTGGCGGGACAACTCCAAGCAATCTTGGATGAAACTGATTATCTGGACCCATTTCAATCCGGCTTCAGACCCGGGTACGGTACTGAATCTGCCTTGGTTGCCCTGTACGATGACCTGTGCAGGGAGAAGGACAGGGAGAGTGCATTCCTGTTGGTTCTTCTAGACCTCTCAACGGCTTTCGATACCATCGACCATGGTATCCTTCTGGATAGGCTAGCAGGATTGGGGGTCGGAGGCACTGCTTTGCTGTGGTTCCGCTCCTATCTCAATGGCTGATTCCAGAAGGTGGTACTGGGGGACTATGGCTCTGCGCCATGGCAGCTATGCCATGGAGTACTGCAGGGGTCCATTTTGTCCCCTTTGCTGTTTAACGTCTACATGAAACCACTGGAAGAGGTCATCAGGAGGTGTGGGCTGCAGAATCATCAGTACGCTGATGATACCCAGCTCTACCTCTCGTTTTCCACCAATCCGGATGAGGCAGTGGCTGTGCTGAACCGGTGCCTGGCCGAGGTAATGGGCTGGATGAGGGCCAATAAACTGAAGCTCAGTCCAGACAAGACGGAGGTCCTGTTGGTTGGCGGATCGGGCTTCGAGGAAGGTGAATGGAACCTAGTCCTGAATGGGGTTGCACTCCCTCTTAGGGACAAGGTCCGCAGCTTGGGAGTGCTCCTCGACCCAGAGCTTTCACTGGAAGCTCAGGTGACAGCGGTGGCGAGGAGCGCTTTCTTTCAGCTTCGGCTGATCCATCAGCTGCGCCCCTACCTGGAGAACGACTGCCTGGCAACAGTGACACATGCGTTGGTGACTTCTCAACTTGACTTCTGTAATGCGCTCTACGTGGGGCTGCCCTTGAAGACGGTCGGGATACTTCAATTGGTTCAAAATAGTGCTGCCAGGCTGCTGATGGGGACTGGGCGTTATGTTCACATGACTCCAGTTCTCCGTCAGCTGCACTGGCTTCCCAATGAAGGTTAGGCCCAATTTAAGGTGTTGGTTATGACCTATAAAGCCCTTAACGG